ACAAACCTTTTTATGAACAGGGCTAGAAATTGACAGCAGCTCAATATTCACTCGAACATTTAATCTCCTGCGTACAAAAAGGTGCAACTCGTTAATAAACCAAGGAAACGGTCTTCAAAAGACGAGTACACAGCTAGGCTGCAGGAATCGGGAGGCATTCAGACAGAACCATTTTGGCAGAAACGTCAAGAACTGAGGACTGCCTGAGCTGCCCGGGAGTTACCAGCACAGCTCCTCAGTCAGCTCAGGGCTTTTCAGTTTTGTTTGCAGCTTTGTTGCTCGTTACCCATAAACTTCAAGCAGCAGTGCAGAAGCTTTGAACCTTTTTTCCAAAACCGGCAATTCTGCAAAATCCTGCCTACGTTTACCGCCGCTCGCAGAAGCGCAGCACGGCCGCTGAAGCCCCGATTCCTCGCCGTCGCGCAGCTCCCGCAGAGCGGCCCGGGCTCACCGCGCTACCGGGCGCCTCAGCCGCTCAGCGCTTCAGGCCAGAGCCGCTCCGATCCCGCACGCACAGCGTGTCGCGGCTAAGACTCACGGCAGGGAAATTCTCTACGTTTCAACACATTTCACGCAAAGTAACCCGCGCATCCGGCCGCGCTCGGGCTGCCGCTCCCTGAGGAGACCCGAACAACCGCCCGCGGTGCGCAGAAGAGATCCGACTACGGGGTGTCGTGCCCGTCCTTGTCCGAGCGCTGCGGGCAGCACCGGGCGCCGAAACGCTCCCGGAGGCGGCGGGAGCGGCGCCGGCAGAAGGCGGGCGGCCGTGGGGTAACGGCGGCGCCTTGGTGACGAGCTGAACGCCGCCCGGCGGCAGGCCCACGGCTCCGGGCTCGGGCCGCAACCCACGCGTCCCCGCTGCCCCTCAGGCCGTTACTCCTCCGCCCCCAACCCGCTGCCGCTCCGCTCTAAGAGGTCCGTAAGAGCCGCTCCGACGCCGCGGAACGCCTCCAGGCCCGCTCCTGACGAGCCCTTCCCTTCATCGGCCCCATCGGCGGCCTCGCGGCAGGACCGCGGCCCACGATCGCTAGGACACGCCAGAGAGCGAGGAGCTAAAAGAGAACTCCTCCAGAAGGGACACGAGAACCTCCCCGCAGCGAGCAGACGACGCCCGGCTACCCCTGGCCCGCCGCTCACCTCTCCTCGCAGCCCTGGCCCCGCGCTTGCACGCACACCTCGCGGTTGAACAGGAGCTCCGCCGCCATCTTGCGCTTTGAGTTTGGCGCTCGGCTCCCGCAGAGGAGGGGCCTTCGAGATGGCGCCCGGCAGCGCGCGCGGGGTGCGGCGGGAAGGAAATGGCGGAGCGGGAGGCGGCCGGCGGCGGCTCGGGCTCCGGGGCTGGCCCGCTGCCGGGGCGGTGCGCCTTCTTCGTGCAGAGGAAGAGGCGCTTCTGCAAGATGGTCCCGGCGCCCGGGAGACGCTTTTGCGGGGAGCACGGGCGGCAGGAGGTACCGCGTGCCGGGGCGAGGGGAGGGGCAGCCCGGGCACCCGGGTCCCGCACGGACGGACCGCCGGCTCGGCCCTGCCGTCAGTTACGGGTCTGGGATCTGCTGGAGCGTTCGGTTCCGGCCCTGTTTCTCCAGACCCCCCTGAATAGATGGTTTGCGATTCTCAGATGTTCTTCAGCAGCTTCTGTGCGACAGGAGCACTGAATGCACGCTGACCTGTTGTTTAAAACTTTCTTAACCAGAAAGAAAATGACAGGAAAAGAATTCCGTGCCCTCTTGATCCGAAACAGTAAGTATATGCAGAATATATATATATATATATATATATATTTTTTTTTTTTTTTAAAACATCAGAGATCTCACTACCACTGGTGTGACTTGCTTTTCCTTTCTCTTTGGATTTCAGTACCGTGTATGAAGACCAACTACAAAAACATTTAAAAAAATGTAATTCCAGAGAGAAGCCAAAGCCGGTGAGTGTCCGTCAGCTGTGCAGCCCAGCCCATGACAGCCTTGTGCAGCAGCCCCTGCAGTGCCATAGGGAAGGGAAGGCCCAGCGGTTGCAGGCGCTGCGGTCAGCACAGCATGGCAGGAGAGCACTTGTTGATCTGAAATGGAATTCGCTTCTGCTCCCTGTCTGCTGTATCCCCTTCTACCTGTAGTTTGGCATAACTTTTGATCCTCTTAGTTATAAATGAAAACGTGGAATGGATTTTTTCACAAAAAATGTCGTGGTCTCTCGCAGTGCCACAGCTCTCATTTTGCCTTGGAAAAACAAAACTAAAAGGCAGCTGTAGATGTTTCCTTGCCTCTGGCGCTCTCCTAACCCAGCCCTGCCAGCTTTGTGCAGGTTAGCAGTGTCATGGAAAGCTTGGCTGACAGATGCAGGCAGTGCTAAAAGAATGAATAGGATAGGATGCCATGTTTCAGCAGCTGTTCCAAGACAACATAATAACTGCTGCAGTTGTAAAGCTGTGGTCACTGTGACCAGCCTAGAAAGCATTAACAGCTTAGTTCTTATTAACATGCTTAATCTTGTAAAAATGTGCTAGAACAGTAACTTCTGCTGGGGACTCAGGATTAGACTTCAGGAAAATAGTTTTTTTTTCCTTTGGAATCTCTTCTTTTGCAGTGGATTCCTGTTGCTGTGTACAGTATGATGAAAGCACTGAAGAAATTAAGTTTTTGCTTCAGAGTAATAAATAGAATCAGATTGGTTTTCTTTGCTTTTTAAAGGTCTACTTTGTTCAAGATATTAATGCAGGTGTAAAAGAAGTAGCAGAAATACCAGCAAATCAAGTGAGTACATTCATTTGTTCTAAAGCTTTTGCCCTACATAACATACTGCCATTTATGGTATGACTAAAAAACTGGCAAAATAAAATTCCTGCCTTCGTGTTTTTTCCTTAAAGGTAACTCTCTCTTCTCTATCCAAAGAAGAGCTTGAGAACTTAATTATCAAGTTGAAAAAAGCAAGTAATGGTGAGCTCACTAAAAATAATACATTTTGAATAAATGTCTCCTTGCTATTTTTGCTGTTAAATATTTATGAAAAGATGAGATGAACTTATACTGGACAAACCTGAAGTAATTAAGATGTAGGCAATCCTCTAATATCTACATTTTACTCAGCGGAATAAACTAGGTTGAAGCAAAGATAGAACTTTGATCTTTTGTCCATATAGCTACTTTCACTTCCTTCTGTGCTTTTTGTTGTTGTTGTTCTCCGCTCAAAAACCACTACAGATAAAAAAATATATATTTCTGTTACAAAGTTACAGTGATAGGTTCCCAAAAGGCTGTTTTGTTCCTGCCATAATTTGAGCTTGTATCTGAATATGAGTGGCAACATACCTTGAACATGAGTTTTGAAACATACGTGTTGCAAAACCAGAAACACTTCAAACCTATACTGAAAAATTCTGCCTTTGTGTGCAGGTCTGGAACTTGACCTTAAAGAACAAGTACTTTCTCACCAGGCTTTAGAGGAAGCCTTAAATGACCCAAAGAACGGGGACTCTGCTTTCAAACACTTGAAACAACAGGTATGGCTACTGCTATGGATGTCTCTAGAAAGGTGTAACCGTTCTAATGGCTGCATGTGCACAGTGTTAGATACTTTACACAGAGTAAATCTGATGCTTTATAATTCTGTGCTTTTCAAATACTAGCATATATATATATAAACCTTTTCAAATACTAGCACATATATATAAAAGAACAGCTGTTTTGCTAGGTGTCAGTAATGGCTAACTAGGCTACTGAAGTAGAATGTGCAGTTCTTCTGAGCTTTCATTTATACATTTTTATATTGACTTAAGATAGAGTGGAGTTCTGTGGCAGGGTAATGCTCATTAGCCAGAATTATAATTCTTTTCCTGTGTGCGCACAGGATCTCTTTCCTAATCTGTCCAGGAAGGAGGACTTGAAAAAGTTTTCTGCAGTTTGGTGGAATAATGATTTTTTTTTTAATCAGGCATCATCATATATTTGCATGGCTCATAAATAATCTTTTGATATTTGTAGGCTTCTATTTTAGGTAACATGGAAAAATTACATTTGCTTGGTCCAGGAAGATGTTTCGTTGAGTTTGGAGCTGGGCGAGGAAAGCTGTCTCACTGGGTTGATATTGCCTTACAAGATACTGAAAACATTCAATTTTTGCTTGTAGAAAGGGCAACTACAAGATTCAAGGTAAAAGAGGATATTGTCATATTAGCAGAGTGTAATTTTTAAACAGTTGTCATCAAAGCTGTTAACATTTGCTTTGCATCTTCCAAAATAACATGAAGTCTTTAAAACATTACAAGTTCTACAAGTGTGATTGTGTGCGTTCCATACTTTGCCAACAGTACACTTATTAGAAAAAATTCTTGCTGTCTTAACGTTGGAAATTAACTTCAAAAGTTACTAAAGCTGGTCACTACGAGCTGCAGCAAAGCTGTAATTATTAGCAGACAGCCCTATTTAATTATCCTGTTTTATTTACACAGGTGGATGGAAAACATAAAAAGAGAGATTCTACATTTGAAAGGCTTCAAGTTGATATTCAGCATTTATGTTTAAGTAAGTTATTTCTTGACCTTTATACCTCTAAAATAGAGGCTTTATTTTAGAAGTGAATACTGGATATCAAGTCAATTAGTATGTAGCATGCTTATGTGTATCAGGTTCTCAGTGGTTGCTTGGACACATCAACAGTGCATATATATAAAAAGTAACAATTTTAATTATTAAGCAAAATCCTGCATTTCCAATCCTGCATTTTAATAAAAGGCAAAGTATTTAAATAACCTTTTATCTGGAGCTAATCTCAGCCACAAATAATTCCAGAGTTCTCTGGTATTCATTTTACTGCTGCTTGCTTATTGCTGCTTGGGAAGAAAATACTGTTGCTTCCTAACAGTATTAAAATATATTCTTTGCTTTTTGCCAGGGCTGAGTTGTTAAACAATAAACTAACCATATGCTTCTCAGACACAGAATCTGCTGCTTTTCATTTAAAAATAGTATCTTTTCAGTAGCTTATAACTCTATGTACAAACCACTGCATTTTTAGTACTGGTAAACATTTATTTGTTAAATGTGCTGAAATAAAATTATCCAGAACAAGTATTTGCCCAACTAACATAATACAGGTCATTTTGTATTTTGTTTTGTTTATTTTTCAGATAAGGTGCCTATTTTAGAGAAGACAAAACTACCAGTGGTAGGAATTGGGAAACATTTGTGTGGTGCTGCCACAGGTATGCATGATATGTGTTAACCACAGGACAACAGGATATTAAGCCCTACATCCCGAAGGGAATGATCTTCCAAATAGTTACGCTTTTCTCTCCAACTACTTGTTGAAGTAATTCTATAGAAATTCTATAATAAATAGAAATTCTATAATAAATATCTGTTAACTACAATAGAACAGAAAAATGGATAATAGTAGACAGGTTTTACTTTAGACAGAAGCAAAACCTTTCTAGTTTGTTACAGAGTAGACCAAAGGATAGTGTGGGGCATGGGTCATGTATTTGTCAGTGGTTGAGAGTATGTTCCTTTTTGCACCATCATCTCTACCCTAACGTATTTTTCTTTCTAAATGAATATTGGCTCTGTCTGAATGCATATCCCAAGCAAACAATAAGAACTTTTATTTCTGTCCTGATAATTTTAAACCATTACACTTTTCCTAATGTTACATGCTTAACTAAGTTGAGAAAGACCTCTCATGTATAAAGCTTATGTAGGTATTGTTGCAAAGATGACACAGTTAAACATTTAAGAAGTATATGTATTATTAAGAAGCATAAACATTTGGACATTAAGAAGCATATTTATTAAAGAGAGTGTGTCCTGGATGTGAAACTTTTAGAGCAATATTTGCATGCTTTCTAAGGAAGGATAAGTATGCCAGTCTGGTAATCAGAATATTTCAGCTTGATTGGGGTAGAAGAAAGACTGAAGAGAATAAGAACTTAATAACTGTGCAGGACTCATAATATTCATTTAGCATATGAAGTTTTCATCCTTTCACAGTATGCTGCTTATTTTTAGCTATCCTCAAAGTTGTTGCTTTTTGGCTTGTGATGCACTTTCTTTCTTTGTGGGAAGCATGTTCCCAGCAGCCATATAGCCTATGTAAGTGAAGGCAAGGTGTACATTCATTGCTCTTATTTTCTGTATCTTTCTCTTCTTTTTTTTTCTTTTTTTTTTTTTTTTCCCAGATCTTGCTTTGAGATGTTTGGTAGAAAGTTATGCAACTTGCTGTAATGAAGAAGATGAAGAGCCTGCACCAAAACGTACAAAGAATAAGGCAGAAGGAGCTTCTAACAGTTCAAATGATGATGACAATGAAAGGAACAAAGAAGACTTTAAGCCTGTAGCTGGAATTGTTATTGCGCTGTGTTGCCATCACAAATGTGACTGGACACATTATGTAGGCAGAGAGTTCTTTAGATCAGTAGGACTTGGACCAGTAGAATTTCATTATTTTCAAAGGATGAGTAGCTGGGCCACTTGTGGCATGAGAGGAGCCATAGCCAAAGCCTCTACAAATGAAGAAAGTGAAGATCACACTACCAACACAGAAGAGCATGGCCAAATATACAGTAAAACAGGGACTGGTTCTGATGCTCTACAAGGGTATGTGATTTCTTTTTTTTTTCTAGCATAAAAACTCTTACAAAAATCAGAATTATGGATATTGGAACATGAAATTGGTTTGGGTCTCTGAAATAACTCATTTTACAGAAGCAATATAATTACTTATTCTATAGAAACATTCTACTTTATAAATAGAATTTTCATGAATGTAAATATTTACATACACTTGCCTGATTTGAAGTGAAAATATACTGATTTTAGTAGTCTTTCTAAGTTCAACTGCTAATGTTAATTAACAAAATTATTTTCCTAACACATTCTGTTCTTTTTTTTTTTTTTTCCCTCTCTGTGAAAGTAGGCTCCTTACTGTTGAAGAGCGGAAGGAGATAGGGTCCCTCTGTAAACTTGTGATTGATCACGGACGGATCAGATATTTACAACATCGAGGATACAAGGCTGCACTACAGTACTATACAGATTCCTCTGTGTCCTTGGAGAATGTACTGTTGACAGCTGTCCCAGAGACAACGACGTGACAAGATGCAGATTTGGAACTGGCAGAAAAACTACAAAATCTATCTGGATTGTATAAAAAGCAGATTTAGTGCTTACAGAAAACCAGTTTTACTCTTTCTTATCCCAAGAAAAGGTTTTATATTTCCCAGTTTGACTGGAAATTAAAAATATGCAAAGCAGTTCTCATTACTAGAAAAATGAAATCCCTAAGAATACTTGAAACTAATTGCAAGCCGTATTGTTAGGAAGAAGCATCTTGTGATAGTTTCTACTTACAGTTAGGTTCCTTCATCATTAGCAGTTATGATAGGAGAAGCATCAGAAGTGCAGCTTTCCACATTTCCTGAAAGACAGTGGGTTAAAATAAGAGAAATCAACATAATTTGTTTCCAATTAGATGGTTAGGATACTTTTGTATTTTCTCCTAAGTTATTTACGTATTCTTAGGTACTTATTTCATCAGCTCTAGGAGCATTCATTAAAGAATAAAACTTATTTTTAAACCACTTGGCTTGATGTATTCTTGTTAATTTAAATATTCATTCATAAAACATGGATAAGAAAAAAGTTAGCTTAGGGTTCTGAAGAGCGTTTTTAAGCCTTCAGGACATGCAGAATGGAAGATCAAAGAAAATGTTTTTATATCTTCAGTGGATGGAATTCTTTAAAGCTGCCACCTGCACATCAGTTTAGAAGTGCATATTTTGATCCTTTACTAAAGCCATTAAGCAGGCAGAGAAATTTAATGTTTCCTTTCACATTACTAGCAGCAGGGTTTTTTGACATAGCAATTTAGAAGTGAGATGAAAGTGTAGGGGCTGCTTTGCTTAGGAGACTGGGTTTTTGTCAGGGAGAGACAGAATTCTCCCCTTCCTCCTTAAATTCAGCTTGCAGACTTTGGAAAATACTAATCCAGGCTTTTCATGTGTCATTTGTGTACATACTCTAGTTTTTTTTTACCCAGCTTAACCTCCCTTTGTCACATCACTCCAGGGGGACTGGAATTAACAAAAAACCATACCTGTTTTCTTCAGTGACTCCTGGATATACATGTGCATGAATTCAATGCCGAACATTTCCTGTTGCTCCTCTTCTTCTGTATTCTCACATGGAGGGAGTGTTATCTCTAACTCCAGTGGGTTGTCTCTGAAGTTGACAAACCTGTCAGGTCAGTGGAGAAGGTTATGCTTGCATTACATCTTGACCAGAGAGAACTTTTGAAACTGAATTAAGATTTATCTGCCAATATTTGGAACAAGAGAAACAGAATTTATGGATATTTTTCCAGGTGCTATGAGCCTTAAGTTGAAACCACCAACGCACTAGCAGAATCAAATAACTAAATGAAGAATTCTTATAATAACTAGCTGATAGTTGTGGGAGAAAACATTGCAGTTCTCATTTTATTTTATGGGTTTCACTTTGTTGTCAGTATAATCCAGATTAGATAAACAGATTAGAACAAGTGTGCAAATGCTGTGTTCTCACTGCAAGGTAAGTCCACCCAATGTCTGTCTATTCTTAGTCCACTCCCATGGTTTGTTCCATATATACCATGGCTTGACCGTTTATGATGCTTGCTTTAGGGTAATACTACAGTGTGCCCATGATATTCTTACAGCTGTAGGAAGAAGGAGGCCAAATAAACCCCATAAAACAGACATTTCCCTACTTAAGAGAATGTCGCCTCTGAGTCCTTCTCCCTCAAACCATTACACCCCACAACAGCTACCCACAAACAACTGAGACTATACAGATAAAGCCTACAGACCTCTCTTTACAAATTAAAGCTTATACAAGCTTACGTGCCCCTGATGTGCAGAAATGTATTAGTCTCCTTAAACTTTGAGAGTGTAACTATCTTAGCTTACACTCTTCAAATGCATTGTGCTTCTCAAAGCTTTCTTGACCAGATTCTCAAATGTTGTGAATCTCTAATTATGCTGTATAACCATGAACACACCTTTTCCGCTTCCTTAGCATCACTCTATGATACACAACTTAAGGGAGGCTTTAAAACTTATCTGCTGGTAATTATATTTCTGTTGCTTTTTCTTACCTGAGATTTGTCATGTGTGTCATACAAGAAGGAATATCCTTAAGTTTGTTGTTGCTAAGAACAAGAGTACTAAGATTTTTCATATTAACAATGGTTTCTGGCAAAGAGTTAATTTCATTCCTTTGGAGCCACAAAGTATGGAGATTCTCCATTCTGTAAAAGTAGGTATTTCCTCAGTCAAGATTTAGAAAATTTGAATAAATAATAAGATTTATTTTCTAAATTGATCATTTTTAACAGCCACATAAAGGACTCACATAAAGAATAATAAAAATCTCTACGAAAATCCCGCATCCAAGATAACTATCTAAACTGCTACTTGAAAACGTCATTAGCAAGAAACATTGAACTTGGTAACAGTACATGTACTATTTATTTATTTACAAAATTAATTATTCTAACTTACCAAATACACACAGAAGCTAATAAATCTTAAGTTTGCCATCAGGTTAATATTGAAATAGCTTTTGAAACAGGATTTAACCATTAGAATTTCAATGCAGTATTATTCAGACTATGATGTGAGCTTTGAGCTGTGTTTACCTGTCAATAGCATCAGGAAGCTTCTGGAGTCGATTTCCTCCCATATCTAACCATTCTAAATTTGGCATGTTCAGAAGAGCTGAAGGGATGGTGGTGAACTGATTCATACACAAATCTATGTGTGAAAGCTTCTTTAAATCACTTAGCTGAAAGGAAAGAGATTTAATACAACTTCGTACTGATGTTCCATTACAGCACTCATGTCATGTTTACTGAAAAAAAGAAAATTTAACATTAAAATTAACAATTTAACATTAAAACACATTTGGGAGTTTGTAAACACAGAATGGTTTCTGAGATACATTAACTGAATTTCAGTGTACAATTACAGCACTCACCTGGAGGCTGGGGATGTAGGTTTGAAGCTGTTCAGGTGGTTACACTTTATCACCTTTGTCTCATTTAGGGTGAGCGCCCTAAATGCTGAGACACTGAATGTCATGACTACAATGCAGATACATCCCAAATATAAAGGAAAGGATTTTTAAAGACATCACCTGGAGCTATTTAAAAGATGTGTAGATGTGGTACTTAGGGACACGTTTTAGTGGTTGACTTGGCAGTGGCTACGTTAAGGGTTGGACTAAATGATCTTAAAGGTCTTTTCCGACATAAATGTTTGTGATTATGTTCTACGATCACTGTCTTTAGTATTTTATGCTCAGCTGGTGCTTCTCCATGCAAGTTGCTCTATTTCATTAAGCAAATATTTAGTTTTTTGTGGTTCATATAGCATGGATGGTATTTTGGAGGGAACTTAAGACACTTTCAGTGTTGTAAAGTCCATTAGTACTGCAAGGCATTAAAAATTAAACCCAGCCTCAATGAGTGCTGCAACACCTCAGTCCTTTGGTGAATCATGTATTCAAATGCTTTTTCTAATTTTCAGGCAATGAAAAGATGTTTGATGGCAAATCTGGCCCAAATGAAGTACTTGCATGTACATAGAACCAAGCTAAATTTACACTAAATATCTCAGGTGTTTGCAACATGATGAACTCAACAGGAAAGAACTATGTACTTACTATTGCTTACTATGAACTGTTACTTTAAGAGCTGTTGCTCTATATTAAATCTTACACTTGTATCCATGTAGATTTAGTAAATTCTGCATTTTGATTAATCATGTATGTTTTTATTTGAAGATTTATTGGATTTTGTCGCTTGGACTTAATTTTGCAATGCTCCATTACTGTGGTTTTTTATACACTAGAAGAAGCAAATATGGTTACGTACTTGACATTTCTGTACCTAGGAGGTCTAATAGTTGGAGATGGAGGTCTCTTTCACATGTACTTTAGACCAAATTAAATCTCAACAGTATATAAGCAATTGCTTTATTCTCATTTAATTGCTTTCAGCATCTTCTCAGAACAAAATTAGTTCTTTTTGCACATTGGCAGTTGTCTAAATCACACAAAACCTTTTCATAGCTAGAAGTCCAGGTAAAGATGCTTTCAATTATACGGTGGCAAAAGGCACAAACTTGCATTCTCAGCCTTAAAAGTGAACTCATCTGTGCTAAGGTATCAGATCCACAGTGGGGTAAATCAATCAGTGAAGATCTTCAGCCTAAACTAACATCAAGTGTATTGCTGTCCTGTATGCTCATTTATCTAGACAAAGATTAGCTCTTGCAACTACTCAGGTAGTTGGATTGTCATGTGTCTTCAGTTGGATTAGTGGTATGAATACTGTTTATGTGTGCATTTATATGGAACAGTTATAACATCAGAATACTAAAGCAAATATAAGAACAGAGAGTAAATTCAAAATATACATCACAAAATAAATAAGTAAATAAATAAATCAGAATAGTCAAAACCTGCAGAGGAAGATCACTGATATTCCTGTTGACAGCCAGTTCCAATCTTTCCAGACTGATGCAATTACTTATTTCCTTAGGAACAGACTTTATTCTATTGTAACTGAGAAGCAGCTCTTGGAGGCCAGTCAGCTGGCCTGCAGAGAGCACAAATGAGAAAGAATGAACATGAATATTTATTGTATTTGAAATAGAGCATTAATGTTTTTCTGTTATCCTAATAATGCTATAGAAGAGTTCTGTGTTCTCATAGTACATAAATAAATAAAAATTTAAATGAAAGGATTTCAGGACTCTAGTACAGAATTCTAGATGAATACTTCAAAAAATCCAAAAACTTATGAAAAGAACAACTCACGCCATGAACTCAGAACTTGAACTTTTTTTAAAAAAAAAAAAAGTTTATAGGGAATTGGTGGCCTTAAGATCTCTACCTAACTGCCAAATATAAGTAATGTTTTCTAACTACATAGCTGTAAACTTAGGAAGTTAAAATGCCAAGAAATTGCATGCTTGTATAACGTTAATTTTCTTAGAAAAGCAATATAAAACAAAATAAAGTACAGCTCACCAATTTCTTTAGGTATGCTTTCTATTGAATTCCGGGATAGATCGAGAACAACAAGATTGTGAAATCTTCCAACAAACTGAGGAATTTTCTGCAAGCTAGTTCTATGAAGCTGCCATTCTTGGAGATGGACTAATTTCAATAAGCAGGAAGGTAATGTCTAAGACAAGAAATATAAATCCAAAAAAAATTCAGCTTAATAAACAAGAATATGGGTTTAGTCAGAAAGTGGTGGTAAGATTTTTGTTTTCTCATTAATATTTTGTATTGCGATTTAAAAATAATAATAAAAAATATTTCCTTCTTCTCAAACTCCACAGTAACATCCAAAGAAGAACTCTATCAGTGTGGGTCATTCTAACCACCAGTTTCATCTGCAGACTGTTCCCTTTCAGGATTTAGACATCTGAACTACTGCCATTTGTTTGAAAGGTTTCAGGCTTTATAACTGAGGATGAAGCTGCTCCAAATGGATTGTTGCCTTTAAATGATTATTTAAATAACATTTCCTGTTCTGTTAAGAGCAGAAGGATAGAAACACTCCAGTCTTTGCAAGTTACGAATTCCAAACAATAACCAGAGCTTTCCTATATTGAACACCAGAGTATTGCTGGCAGGGCTGTAACTCTTACTGACCTCAACATAGTCTAATTCTCTTCATCAAACTGGCACCTGCATTTCTGCACTGATAAAACTACCAGCTCTGTAACTTGTCCTCACTGCTAGATCCCATTCTGTTGTTGATTCTACAGTTAGCCAACTCCCTACACACATTAGAAATAAGAATCTGAGAATCAAACTCACTCGTTGTCACTCAGAAAGTAAGTAACAAAAAAAAAAAAAAAAAAAAAAAAAAAAAAAATCTATCTGTGCACCTAAGCACAGAGGTTTTTCATCGTGAGATATTTCAGTGCTTTGGGTGCATTAACAAAGTGAAGATGTACCTAATTAAACTCACATTTTGCAATGTAAAATCACTTCTAATGCAAGAAAGCCTTTTGGGCTTTATTTTTGCAGAGGAATGCTTAATACTTGAAACTAAAAAAAATCAGCTTGCTTTTACATTCTCACAACAGTGTACCTCAATTCATGGTTGGCAAAGCAAAACATGAGCATTTCATGATTAGAAGTAGTCATGATTAGAAAGAGTCAAAGCGCGAGCGTAAAGATGTAAATAGTAATCTTCAAATGCATCAAGTCATTCAGTCTTCATTCAGCAATATTAATACCTATACACAATACCTTCCATTCTTCTTCCTCTATCCTTAAAACTGCTCTTCCATCTTCATTAACTACTTTGTCTTTGAGTTTTGCTAAAGTGGTTCTCTCCTCCCAGACAAGCAGTAACCTACAAAGGGAAGAAAATTTATTAGTGGTGCGGCTGTAAATAAAGGCAATAATTACCAGCCATTGTATTACTGGAAAAACAAAGAGGCAGGTACTTTGAATGAGTAAAAATATTGTTTCTGAATGTTAATTATATTATCAATTGAGGGAAGATAAGAACATGAAGTAATGTTTGACTGAGTTATAGTTACTCTATTCATCTGCAGTTCTGCATAGATTAGTTTTACAGTCAAAAGGAAAATAAAACTTTATTCAGTTTCATCACACTGCAGCCAGGAAATAGAAGGTAAACTCACATAAAGTGACAGTCCCAAAGTCATAAATTTTGAAACAATCTCGTGGTGGAACAGAAAGCTCTCAGTTCCACCAAATAGAAGTTCACTCAAACAAGGCCAATCAGCTAGAGATTCTTTTAGCTTTGTTTTCAACAAAGATTTTTTTTCTTTTTTTTAATTCAACACAACAAGAATTTTAATAATTAACCCACTTCTTTTTCTGCTTTTATTTTCCATTTGTGACTTCTGAATTTGTTATTCCATTTCAAACATCTGACGAATGAGGAATGGTTCCAAAAATGCTAAATTTCTTCACATTTTGTGAAATTGCTGGCTACTCAGAAGAGAAGACCAAACAAGGGTTAATGCTTCCATTGAGAATAAAAAAACTAGAGCTAATTAGAGCATGCACACAAAAGAGGATTTTAATATCTGTATTAATTAGATTTAGTGTATATGCTAATATTTTTATCACAGAACACATCTGATTGATTGCCCTGAACGTACTGCCAGATTCTAACCAGTGGGAGTTCTATGCAGTAAAGACTAAAGAATTAGACTGTGGATGAGTTTGGAAAGACTACTTCCAGTCTTCTGCAATGTAACTTAGAGTCTAGGTTTTCACATATCATCTACAGTTTACCTACCTTCCTGCAGACCTCTCTCTGAATTCCTTTTCTTTCCGTAATTCTTCATTTATCTTCTTTATTCTCACTTCCCAAAGTGTCTTCACAGCAGTGAATGATCCAATGCAAACAGCAGTTTCAGTCATGATTCTTACATGTTCAGGTTCAACCACAGGACTCCAACTGTGAATTTCAGCGCCTTAGTGCTTGTATCACCTACTGCATGGGGGCAGTGACATGAAAACTAAAATACAGACATATCTCCTTGATTATATCATTGAATGTAGTTAATGTAGGGCTAACAGAATATTACCAATTGCTCTGTATGTACAAAATAATTGTACCCAGTTAAATTTTCTGAAATAAAATACAATGTAAACAAGTAAAAATGGAAATTAGTTTCAAAAATTGGCTTTCAACAAAATCATTATGCAATGATCTAGAGAATTTACCACGGGAGACCATTAAACCATAGCACTGTTATCAAAGATGTTGACACAACTAAAATAAATAGTGACAAAAGAAAAATAATTAGAAAGTATAAGGAATTTCAACATTCATTTTGGGAAGCAAATTAAATACTAACTTGAATGTACAATTTTGAACTTTTTTTTCCCAAAGGCACCTGTATGAAGGATCTTTTTACAATCTCTTCTGCATTCTTCTTGAGAACAACTGTTTCTTTCAGTTCATTACAATTGTAGACTGAGAACAACCATCATTACTAAATGTGGGTACAAGAATTAATTCCCCTTCCAGGAAGAAATTAGTGTTCTGTGCAACTCCAGGTAATTAATCATTACAGTTGCATCCTGGGTAGTATAAATATTTGCAATGAAAGGAATTTTGCACTTCAGAGAAATTGATATATTGCTAAAAACATGTTAGCATGTGCATTTATTCGTATTATTTTTCTTAATAGTATCTCTCACAGCATAGTGTACAGCTAGTAATGCATTACCTTTTTAAAAAAGACTTCTCATACTCTTCACATCTCTTTCGCCATCTTGTAGACCTCCCGAGTGTCAAGATCCAAATCAAATCAGGCTAATGTTTTGAAATCATCTTTTCCTTAGGGAGATAATTAATACATAATTTTCTGAAGAGCAGCAAAGACACTCTGTTATCCCAATAAGCACACCCTCCAAAAAAAACGTTCTACTGCCATTTTATGTTTATCATGTCTTTTGCTAACACGGTTGTTTGTGAAGTCTGATTGTATTGAAATCAATTTAAAAGGTACAGCCAAGCAAACACTAATTTTAAATTGTCAAGATTGATTCCTGTTCTAAAGACAGCATGAAACCATCTTACAAGGCCTGATCCCCCACACCCCTCCCCAAGGAAAAAAAAAAAAAAAAAAAAGAGAGAGAGAGAGAGGGAGAGAGAATCTGGTCCAATACTTCTATACTAAGAATTCATAACCATTCTTTACTTGTTAAGGAAGAATGGTAGGATTTGACAGGTGATACAAAAGGCATCCCACAATGTGGCACAATGCTGTCTGGCACTCAATCGGGAATTCAATCCCTTTTTAGGGATTCAATCCTTTCTTCTCTGTAACTAGAAGATTTTTTCGTCTTTCCCTTCCCTGCATCAATATGATTAGAATTAATTGCTGTACTTTGAAAGACTAACTTCTTTTTCAGTGGTACTCCTAGTAAATACCTTTCCATTCCTCATCCCAACATGCAACACTAGTGACTAAAACACCATATTGGAGCCTTTTTGCTCCAATTAGCAGCTGCAATTTAAAATGCCTTATTTTCAGAATTAGTCTTCTATCAAGAAAAAGTGATTTACCTGATCAATCATACCTGTTGTTCAGACATTTTCAGATAGAAAACTACAAATCTTTTGAGTATGTTGTACAGAAAAGATACATTAAGGTTCCAGTCTCTACAGATTCGTTCATACATGCACTGCTAAAGCCAATCTCAGACCATGCAATCAGTACTTATTCTTAGTGAAAGCTTACACTCAGCGAAAAGTGGACAGCATATAATTCAATTCTAAAACATTGCTTTAGAACCATGAAGTACAGAAGGTCCTAAGTATATGATTCTACCTTCAAGGATATTTAATTATATAATACCAGGGTTACTGCCAAATCTTCTTGATATTTTCTTGACAAACAATAAGAACATAACAATCACATTGCCACTGATAATTAAGAAGTGAATTCCCAAAGGTGGCTGTAAAATAAACACAAATTACTCAAATTACTACCACGTAATTCCCCCCAAAATCACCTCCAAGCACATGAGAGAGTTTGGAACAACTTACCTCAAATATCTGGTTTTCAAAGATTTTCCATGACTCATTGCTTTCTGTGCAAGAGCCTAGGTAAGGTACAAATTTTGCTTGTACTATCAAAACCATTTGGAACTCTCACTCAGACTCCAGTGCAATGTCACTCTAGTTCTAATTTTAGCCTATGCTGAGAATAGAAGGTATCACATGAGGCACTTCTGCAACACCCCCGGCATTTACCATTCTTAATGTCTTCCTAGTTTGCAGAACATGACTGGACTCCCATAAACTGCTTATAAGATCAATAAAAGTTAATAGCAGTGAATAAAAACAAATTCATTATACTTCACAATGAAAACTACAAGTAAGTTACTTTGGGCATTTTTTTTTATTCTTTCAGCGTTTATCTGCAAGATAACTGAGCTTCAGAAAATACTTAGTACTGCACAACTGCTATTAATCAGTAACAGTGATTAATTAAACTAGAACAAGTGTTACATAATTAAGTATTTTATTCATTGCTTTTGCTCATGATGAAGAATTCCCATGTAAATTGTCAAAGACCAGGCAGAAAAGTAATTTTTATCATGGTATGCAGAGGGGTTATTGCTCACCACTCCCTTTTACATGCTTCCAATCATAAAACATTTTTAACATTCTATTTCTTCAAAGAGACATTGGAGAAGATAAAAGGCGAACAACTGTCACAGTAAACAAGTATTAGAAGTTACATGACAGACTATTTAGACTATTTTAACTTTGTTATTATTTTTCATGTTTAATACCTTTTTCTTCACTCAGACAGAAAGAGAGAGGCAGCAATTATCATAAAGATACTGGTTGAAACAGAAGTCATAAAACTGACTTGTTCCAACCTGGACTGCACTGTAAGGATATAAAATATGAAGACAAAACTTAAAAAATAGCACTCATTTGGTCACAGTAGAAAACATTCTTAGTCATTATCAGCTTGATTTAAATTCTATCATTACCACACAAAACTTCATAATGGAAAGTAAACCACAACAGTAACAATGAAAACAAAAAAACTAAAACATGAACACCAATTCCTATCTTAAAAGATAGTAACTGCTATAATTTTTAATCTTCAAGGGCACATTTTTTGTGTTTGAGGGGGGATGTGTTAGAAGCAAAGGAGAAAAAGTAAAAATGACCTCTTTGGTATAGGCATTGCTTCTTTCAGTTTTGGTAGAGGTTCAATACCCCCAGTATTTTTAATTAATTAATTTTTGAAATATAAATATAAGCTCTGCCCTCTTGAAAGAGACAAATAATTAGAGTTAAGCCAAAATGAATTTTACCTTTCCTTTTACCAGGTCTTTGAGTGTTAAAGAAATTTGAAGCTTCTTTTGTGAGTAAAATTCTTCTCTAAAATATTTCAAGGTCTTTATCAGTTTCTATCATATGCTTTTGTTTCCTCAACTAATTTTTTATATGGCCATAAGACTAAAACAAAATGCAATTCAGACTAAGCCCTTACCACAGTAACAGACTTGTAGGAGAGTAGCCATTAGGCTGTGCCCTTTTAGCAGTCTCAAGTGCAGTACGTTCTTTAAAATAAGATGTATCCACCTGTACAGGATCACCTGCATGAAATAAATTCACATATAAAAACAGTATTACTACAATTATTTGTGCCCTTTGAGAAAATTTATTAGGAATAAATAAATCTGATAAAAATGAAATAGGTGATATGCACAACAAATTAGTCAAAGTCTTCAGTAAGTGACTTCATAAAGGCACCTTATACCACTACAGGATTACAAATAGCACCTCACATGTATACTCCCCACCTACATTACCACCTTTCCTCTTGCTCAGTCTCAGCATCAAGGAAGCAGAGATTCTACCCCGGTAGCTTACGTCTTGCATCTTCACAGCTAAACACATCAGGCTACTTTGGTCTACAACACTGGTGAATATTCCTGTAAAGACAGTTTTTGATATTTCTAAAGAAAGGAGAAAACGTCAAATTTGCAAATTCATTTTTAAGGTCATACAATTGCTTTTTCTTGTGCGTGTTTCAAGTTTATGTTTTCAGAAGGCATTTATATTCAACCATTTTCTAATTCCTACCAAATAACCACTACAGTCCTCATCATCTCTTAAGTTTACCTTAAAGCAGCACTATTATAATCTGTTCTGAAGACATTAACTTGAACCTCTTCATTCTTTGCCTTGCATCAGCTATTCCTCATAATATTTTTATTAAATACTAATTCTTAGTTGTATCAGATTAACCTGTCAAGTTCTGGTAAATGAACATCAATAATGTACAATGGTGCAAACTTCTAGAGTACATTTTCTTTGCTGTCAGACTTATTTAATGTCACAATAACTAATGAGATCCTCCTTTTCTACAAATAGATGTTTTCTTTAAGGAACAAAAATAGTGGAATTTAAGGACTGTAACTACTTCCAGACTATAAAAATACGGTATATCCTAGGGAGTTTCAAGGCCCTGATATTTATCAGTAAATGTTATCAGCAATGTTTGAATAAATATGCCCTCTCCCTTTATCATTTGATAAAGTACCTGTGCAATTAATACCAGGAAAAAGTGGACTAGTAGTTAAACCTGAGAGTTTAACTCTGTTAAACAACAAAAAGCTCTCTGGACATCTTACAGCAGAAGCATAATTGGCATTTTATTTGCATTTAATTTTGCATAACTTCTTTCGGAAATTTTGATATTATCTGTTAAGATAAATTTGTTTCCAACAAAGAAGAACTGTGCGTTTTCACCTTCAAAATGAGCTAACCTGTTTAAAAATATGACAGATGTAGATCAGTGATTCATTTACACCAGTCTTACAATCATATGTATTACAGAAGGCAAAATAAAGACAATCCATCACCATATTCAGAAGTTGTGCCATGACCTATTGACAGCCTGCTGTAGAAGAAAATACAGCACTACTAATTAAAAGAAGTAACAATTAATTGATAGACTGATATCAGCTGTTGAGAACTTTTAACCACAGAAAGTTATTATATAATATGAGTAGCAAAGGGCATGTGCTAGCAAAGCCAGCTTTTGTAGTTATTCAGTCTAACACAGTTTAAAGGCATATTCTAGCCATGATTTCCTTTATTTAAGGTCTAGCAGCATCGAAGCAGGGTTCTCCAAATAAGATTTCCAGAGGTTAGAAAAACGGGCCATTGTAGCTCCATCAATAATACGGTGATCAGCTGACCAGCTCACATTCATTATCTGTGCTTTAAATACTTCACCTTTCCCATTAAATCGAGGAAGAACCTAAAAACCAGTGAAAGGAGTAAGATAAAAATAGAAATATTACATATTTTCTTTAACAAAACCACATTTTTATTGTTAATCTAAATTCAAATATTTTGCTAAGTCAGACAGACAGCAGTAGTGTCATTCAGAAATGAAAGATCTTCCCATGCTGTTTCTGTGAACCAACATAATAAACAGCGATATCCACTTTCCACCATCCTGGATATAGACAAGTAGTGAAAACTTTCACTGACCCAGAAGCTTTCTCCTGAATAATTACTTGCACTTTTACTGCTCAAAATGACAGTTTTCCTAAAGCATTCCTGAAATGAGGCTCATAGGAAGAACACGTGAAAAGTATTTTTAATTGATATTAATGTCATTTCCAGCATTGATCTCAAATGTCTGCATTAAATAGTTAAATACCAAAGTTCAGAAAATAAGAAACTGCCATGACCACAGAGTTCTGTGTAGATTCAGCCATCTGGCTCATAAAGCTAAATACTATCAAAATACTTTAAGTCTCAAGTTTTCTCCTTAATCATAGTAAGACTGATATTGCCACGTTGCAAAAACTTCAAAAAAATGTTTATGTTGTTTCCTAATAACTAGAAGATTAAATACAGACCTGAGTGAATGTTAGAGAATTCTAGAGAAAAAGCTGAAACTTTGGCATAAAAGACTTCAGTGTCTCTGCTTAGCCATCTAAAAATACCACAACGTTTTTTAATCACAAGCTAGGCACTTATTTAACAGAAAGAAGTCAAGTTTAAATTAAAAACAAGGAAACACGTAAGAACATTTTCACTGAAAACCACCTTAGTTCCCGAGAGTTAAACATATTGTGGTACTGATAGGAATGGGAGGGTGGTTGGACTAGATGATCTTGCAGGTCGTTTCCAACCTTGTGATTCTGTGATTCTGTGTGATATTACTGAGATAGTCAGTATACCTGTATCTTTCCAAGTGCTCCAATAGCGACTTCAGGAGGTAGAATCACTGCCTTGGCGTAAGTACCACCAATCTAAAAAAGAAAATGCCGGGGATACTAGTTAACAAATAATTGTATCACTTATTTGAAATGCTTCTTGCAGGAATTACTGCTCATTTTGTTCTCTGCATATCAAACTTTTATTAAGATGTTCACTTCAAATGCAGTTTTCAGATGCAAGTTCTCATTTTTCTTGTACTTACTGTGCCAATATTTGAAAGGGTGAATGTTCCCCCAGTGAGGTCATTTGTTCCCAGTTGGCTGGCAGAGCCCAAGGCTTGTAGGCGATTTAATTCAGAAGCAATCTCAAAGATACTACTGACTTGAACATTTTTCACATTTGGGACAATTAAACCTTGTTCTGTGTCCATAGCAACTCCAATGTTGTGTGAAGCCTACAATAAGTTTCATGAACCAGACATTAACAGAAGCAGTCAACACAACATGCATACTTGCTAGAAGGAGCATGTAAGGATTCATCTGAGTGAGTCTGATAAAACAGCACAAAAGGAAGTTTTACTAACTATATGTAAATATATACACACACACATATATACACATCACTTAAGAAAATAGACTTCTTTATAGAAGTATTTGGCCAGCACCTTGTACAAAAATTAAATGAGTTTTATCAAAACTAAGCTTAAAATATGATTTAAGTACATAATAGCTGAGAGTCCAAACAGCAGAGTCACTGTGCCATTACTAAAAATTACTGTCTTTGGATTTTAGATATTATCATTACAATTGTTTGGTCTATCTTCAGTGGGAAAAGAGGAAATCACTGTAGTAATAAGCATTTTTGAGAGCAAGCTGAAGTGAAAAAATGACTTTAATTAAATAAACCACTGAAATAAAATCTATATTGAATGAAATCTAATCTGAGACAGAATCTGGATACTTAAGTTCTTTTCCAGCACACTGTCACAGTTTTTATATTCATTGCCTCAGACATTCTGAAAAGCCCTCATCAAATGTTATTTTGGGTTTTCTGCTCACAACTTTTATCAAAAAGTTTACAAACCTTGTAAGTGACATTCTGACAGCTGTCATCCAAAGAGGCATTAAGAATGGGATACTGCAATAATCCTAGAGAAGTTGCCTGTTAAACATAAAGATATATTCTTATACTTAATAACTCAGAGAAGTGCATGGATAAGGAACACTGGGAGACAAATGAGGCTAATAATCTAGATTTCCTTGATGCAATCAAATGTGGCTTCAACTCTCCTACATGCTCCTATGCATGTTGATATTCTGTTATGATCACAGTAACAGAAGGAAAAACTTATAAAAAACAAACATGTGTCAGGCAGACATACAAAAAGTAATAATCAATTTCTCAAGTTATTTCCTGTTCCACAATTAGAATTCATAACCCAAGAAAAAAGTTAGGATATTCCACAGCAATTTCATTCTAAACTCTCCAATTAGGTGGTTATTGCAGGGAACAGTAATTCCCCCTAAAAAGAGTGAGCAAAATAAGTACTTGACACTCCAGTTGAAATAGCATTATCAGAAATTTTAGATTAAGCTACGCATTCAGCCTCCAGTGATGACAGCAACTGGAAATGAAACCATGACAACTACATGAGTACATGTTTGAACCAGAGAAGGCATATGTTCAATTCACCTGAACAACATAAACATATTCATTCATCTGAGGGATTCACTACCAGCAACAACGCTTACATGGCATTTTAAGTGAGACTGATTTTAATGAAGGTCATCAAAACTACCAATTGTTTCTAAAATATGTTTTGTTTAAATTACACACTCAGTGATGTTTACTCACTTACTGCATCATGCTGTATCTGCTCTTTTTTCTCCATTCCCATATCATCTAACCTAACTACAGTCCCAACGGTAAATTGATAAACGATGCATTGAACAAGAAAAGCTGATGTTTTTCTTGTGATCTGTGTGCTCCAAACTTAAAACAAAGATCTATCATAAGATTTTGGTAAAATCTGCATTAGTACTCCATATGGTGTTCTGCTGCATTTCTTACCTTTATGAAGAAAGGCATAAAGGAAAGCTTAATTCCACGACTTTGTGCTAAAGGTTTGAGCTCTTCTCGCAACTGAACAAGGTGAGTCAAATCAATCTCATCACAATAACCAAAGTGAGGGATCTTTAAGGCAGCACTCATAGTCTTTACCATTGCCTTGTGAAAACCTGGAAAATATTCACTGACTTCTTACGTGAACAAAATTAACTTCTTGGAACTGAGAGTGAAATTCCAATTATTTGAAAATTAAAATCTATCATTTTCCTCTTTCAATGAGATTTTTTCTTATCTCTGTGTCTTTTATTGTTTCTCTGAAAGAAATAACTTTACAACTAATTACATGATGACTCAAACTGTAACAAATTCACAAGTGTTTCTAAATTCCAACCTGTTTCAGAATAAACCCGAGGAAACATGGGTTAAAAATGAGCAAGTGCAACTTGCATCCAAACTTCATCCGCCCAAAATAGGAACAATTATATCAGAAAATAATAACTTTATGCAACATCTTCTTGCAGAGAGCATGTTTTCCTATTTCTCGCTTAAAATAATAAATTGAAACACTCCCATCAAGTGGAGACAAACGTTCATTGAGTTACATTCACCAGCAGTTCACTGCAAACAATTTCTCAAGATTTTTGTACTTGATGATTTACCTGTTATAGGTTCGGTTTTATCTTTTCCTGAAAACACAATGGGTCTGGAAACAGGTGTTGGAATTTTGCGCGCTCTGTCCTTTGGAGCAGTTGGCGCTGTCTCTGATTTTGACAACGCCTTTGGTGATGGAGGTAGGATAGCTCCCGTTTGTTTGGCCAAAAAATTGAGAATGTCTTCCTTCAGGATTCTGTTATCTTTCCCTGTTCCAATAACTTCACTCAATTTAATCTGAAAAGTATGTAACAAATTATGACACTGTCTTTACAGCAATATACATATTTACAGCAATATAAGTATTCCTATACTATGAAATATGGTTAACAGTTATTGATCCAACATATCTGCCATTTTATTTCCCTTTCTGGAACCAGAACTCCTGTCTCCTAATCCCTGTTAATATGGTTAGCATGGAATCACAGAATCTTTTGAGTTGGAAAGGATCCATAAAGGCCACCTACCCCAACTCCCCCACATTAAAAAAAAAAAAAAGGGACATCTACGGCTAGATAATTTGCTCAGAGCCTGGTCCAGCCTGACTTTGAATGCCTCCAAAGACAGGGCGTCCATCACCTGTCTGGGCAACCTGTTCCAGGTTCCAGTGCCTCACCACTCTTATTTGCAAAAAAATCTGTCCTTAAATCTAATCTAAATCTCCTCTCTTCTATTTTGAAAGCATTTCCTTCCCCTTGTCCTATCACAAAAGGCTCTACGAAAGAATGTCAGCATAACGCAACAACATTTTATGAGACAAATATCCAGTATCTATTACAGCAAATGGGTCTTGTATTAGTCCTTGCTCACCCTCTCCTCACTGACTTTGAAGGCTGCAGGTAGCTAGACAACTTTTCCCTCCCCATTGGCATCTTGAAGGTCCTGGGCACTCAACCACCCAAAATGAACCCAACAAAGCCACCACAGAACAGGGAAGCTTAACAGGACACAGAGCACAGCCTGTAAAATCAAGCAGCTGCAAGTCTTAAGGGGGGATTTGGAATGGATCCACTGCTGGACAGCAAAATGTGTGACCCTGGCGCTCAGGGACAGCTCCACTGCGGTATGCTTCCTCCAAGGATGGAGGGAGTGACTCATATTCCTTTACATCTTCTACAAATCCAGATTGTGACTGTTATATTGCATACTAACTATTATTATTTTGGCCTGATATGGTCCAGGTGATTAGAACAAATACTGATTAACTGTACACTACACTATTAATAAATCAATCAATAAATAAAATCTGTGCTACGCTAATTACAAAAATTTGGTGAACTAGCAATGCTTTAATTGTAATTACAGCTTAGTAGCATCTTCATTCTACCCAGGATCTCTAAAGAACCCATGTGCCTTTGTAGCATCAGGTATCACCTTCTGTGATTTACTAGGTATGCAACATTGTTTGAATCACCTAAAAGGCTCATAAGACATCTTAATTGCATACTTAAAGGAAGAACAGTGAATACTACTTACCTTGTTATCACAGGATCAATAATGAAGTATTAATTTGAAGAGAGTTATTTGTCATTTAAATTTCTCTATTTGTTGTTTTATTTTTCGCAAAAAAATGCACCATAAGCTTTCAAAAAACAGTGGATTAACACAGAAAATGAATTAGAAAAGTCCTTAAAGGACCATATATTCCATCACTTGCTCTTACGTAAGTCTGAAGAACAGAGCATGGTAGCTAAATCTGAGATTAAATTTTTCCCTACTTCCTGCTCTGCCCTACGGATCCATTCCAATACTTCCACTGTTTTTCAGAAACCACCATCCGAAAGTAACATAGCTGCATTTTAAGCCAACTAATTCTTTCCTAACTTGCCATAATCATCAGAAAGCATAATTATCTCCATCTCTACAATGGTGTTTACACATTTGAAATATATTCAAAAACAAGACATCCCTCACTGTACTATCCTCTAATCCATATCCTCTCAGTCAGTCAAACTGGTACATAAAAGAGGGATAAAATGTGACAAGACGTAATTCAGCAAACTTACATTGTTTTCCATAGCAAGACGACGAACTGCAGGCGTTGCTAATGTTTTGTGACCTTTTATCTCCTGGTGTGTGTGTTCCTCATGAGACATAGCTGGTGTTTCAACAACATCCTCTTCTGGAGCAACACCTGAAAGCAAGAAGAAAAAGTTTAATTTGATTAGGTTATAGATACTTGTTAAATTTCAGAATTTGCTTTAAAGTTTCTAACTCAGGCACATGTTAATAGGCACTTGAAAAAAAAAGGCAGAACAAAGTCTCAAATTTCTTACAAAAACTAACAAAGGAAGTATTAGCTAAAAACACCTACCTTGGTGTTTCTAGACAAATGCAGTTAAATATAGGACTCTCAGAGTAAAGGCTGCACATGAGCAAGCAACAAGTCTTTCTGGAAAAGGTATCTAACGCTGCCCAAGGCTCTGTTTAGAGCAGTGTTGCCAGCAGGCTGAGAAAGGTGATCCTTCCCCTCTACCCAGCTCTAGTGGAGTCACATCTCAAGTACTGTATCCAGCCCAGGCCCAGAACAAGAGAGAGATGGAGGTAATGGAGGGAGTTCAGCTAAGGGCCAACAAAGATGATCAAGGGATTGGGACATTCCTCCTATGAAAAAAGGGTGACAGAGCTGGGACTGTTTAGCCTAGAAAAAGATGGTTCCTCTGATGAGATAGGTGGATCTCATCAAAGCATATAAATATTTGAAGAGAGAGTGTAAAGAAGACAAAGTAAAGCTCTTTCAGCAACATCCAGTGTAAGGATGAAATACCTCCTGGGCACAAACTGGAACACAGGAAGCTTTGTCAGTGCACAGGAAAAATGTTTTCACTGTGAGGGTAACTGAGCACTGGGGCATGCTACCTAAAGAGTCTGTGGAGTCCCACCCTTTGCGACGTCCAAAGTCATGTGAACATGGTTCTGGGCAACGTGCTCTAGCTGACAAACACAAAATATGCAAGAGAAAAACTGCTTACAATACCTTTTGAAGCATCAATTTCAATGTCCACAAGTGGTTTTCCAACATAAGCTATTTCATCTAAATTGTAATGGAGTTTTCTAATGATGCCATCATAACGACTAGTAATAGTAACAGAAGCTTTATCACTTTGCACTTCACAGATGCTATCAAACTGAGAAACACTATCACCTTCTTTTATATACCTAAGAGAAAAGACACATGCTAGTATAAAACAATATAACAATAAAAACCTATGGTGTGTATTCTTTAGATTAAGTTCAGTTAGATATATCCTCATAATACAAAACACATTCTGGATAAAGTGACAGATAATACAGCTGATACATTTGCTATATACTTTCCACCAGATTACTCCAAAACCACTTGTGTGAAATGACACATTTCAGAATACAATCACATACACAATTTTTACTATTATTTCTGCTAAGAAAATTTTTTTGTGACAGATTATAAACCACCTCAAAAAAGAAAAAAGAAAAAAGAAAGAAAAAAAAAAGACTAACTTGGTTTGAAGCTGAAGAAGGTCTCTGTTTCAAGTTGTCAAGACCAGTATATAATCAGTTGCAGAAAAAAAACTGGAAGTGGGAAACTGTCTCCCATACAAAGAAATATTTCTCCTATTTTACCTTCCTTACTCATAGTGTGGTGGCACTCTGGCACAGGCTGCCCAGAGAAGCTGTAGATGCCCCAACTCTGGAGGCATTCAAGGCCAAGTTAGGTAGGGCCCTGTGTAGCCTAATCTGGTGGGTGGCAGCCCTGCCTGCCCATAGCAGGGGGTGAGAGCTAGTCTTTAAGGTAACCTCCAAACCAAGCCTCCTAATGATCCTATTTGTACAAAGAGCAAGGCATTCCAACACTGTCTTGCTCTACTTGACACTTTGATTTTGCTTAAACTATTACTTGCTGCCTTTCTAGGAACAATTTACATTTTTCTATGAAAGTAAATGGAGAAGGGGTACAGGACAAAACCATGTGGATTCTCTGGAATTGTCACTTTTTCTAACGTTCCAAAGCTCAGCCTAGATCTCCTCTAAAAACAATAATCACTGAAAGAAAGCCTACATACAAGTGCAGTTAGGGCATGCCATTTCCTCTACCTTTTCTATTCCCAAATATAACAGATTTTAATAAACAAAATGTAAAGGTCACTACATACAAAGGTTCAAAATGTAGAAATCAAAACTTGAAAGACTTCAATAGTCTTTCAATAGAAAACATACTCTCTGAAATAATTATTGATACTTGATAATTACAGATAGTATTTAAACTACTTGCTGATGTCTTAATGTATTTCTAAGGAAGCTGAGCTTACCATTCTTTCACAGTCACCTCTGTAATACCCTCTCCAATATCAGAAAGCTTAAACTGGACAATTTGGCCACTTGAAACTTAAAAAACAAAAAAAACAAGGAAAGTCAGCTTGCTTAATATTAAGTGTAAGACATCAGACAGAATAAACCGTACACAATAAAAATAGTTAAATACCATTTATATTCAAGCCACTGACATAACATTCATAAAAGAGCAAATTGAAATATTTTATTATGAAAAAGATTACCAGCAGATGTTCTGAATAATCGCTGCTGCTGACTAAAGTTGAAGGCAGATTTGTCAAACACGCACGCATATTTTGATTTTATAAAGCGGATGCTGCTGCACGATCTAACGTGGTGAACACAAACCTGGGGGAAAAAAGTCTCAGGTGTTAAAACATTAGGCTGAGAAGACAGAGTTCACTTAGCATTAATGATGCAACAGAAGTCATCAGAACATGTAATTTCTATGGAGAACTTCTTAGGAAAATACAATCAAAATGAATATTACTGAATATATAATAACCATTAAATTGGCATGAACTTTGCCATGTCTTTAACTTCTTTTACTAACACAACACATAAGAGATTAAAGCCACAACAGCATAAGAAATTAACAAAAATCATTACAACATTTGATAAGAGATTCATAATTGCTATAGTTTCTGTAAACAAGTAGTTCAGCCAAGACACACACACAAAAAGCATAGATAATATCAACTACATTAGACATCTGAAATACTCTCATGCAGTGTGAATGCTGTAGAGTCCTGTAGACTGCAAGAAAAAAAAAATCAGCATGTTTTTCTTTGCCAGCTCTTATTCCAATCAAAAGCCAATCAGAATTAAATATGGGAAAAGAAATTCACAACAGAGGGCACAGTTATCCTTTTAATTCTGTTAATGTAAAGGAGATAAGCATCTTTAAGTAACTTCAATTGTAATTATATTCATCCAGAAATCAACTTCAAAGGTCATCAGAATTTTCTGAAAGATTCTTGGTACAAAGGTGTATGCTTTAGAACATCATGTAATTGGTGGTGATCTTGGTCAAAACAAAGGCAGTAGCACTTGCATTGACATAAACAAGCATTTTACCATTAATCTCATCAGAAGTTAGTTCATGCCCTTTCTTATTTAGTAATATTTCTTAAATCTCACTTAATTCTGGTGTTATGGTGCCTTGTGTGATGTCAAGTTAATAAAAATAACAAATGATCTGTAGATACTATCTCTAATTAATTTAGAGATTAAAAATAAAAATAAAAAAAACAGGTGCTACAGTGTACCTCCAGTAGCTCAAAACTGTAAAATTTAGAAATTATCTTCTCAGATGAGGCAGAAAACAGGACACCTGTATGGGAAAGTTCATTTTAACTTACTTTTTTAATATCCCTTCAAAGAATTTCAGAGCACATGAAACTTGCTGATTCCCCTCCCACTCACCCCTCATTGCTGAACTATTTGATTTTATACTATACTTTTAATGTGCAGATTATCCTGAAAGCTGTACAATTCTGAATTGACTATGTACATGTTTTCTGTATTATTCCATCTAGCATTGATAGTTATACTTAATATCACCTTTCCTTTAGGAGCAAATATTTACACAAAACAATCTCTAATAAAGGACACAGCAAAGTCAGTAATACTGAGTTACTTTGCATCTGCCGGCTACTAAGATTGCATCCTCTGATCTTGAGCAAATATTCTTCTAATTTCTATAATGAACAAACAGTAAATCTTTCGGGGCATGATTGGTGCTGCCCACTTAGTTCACTCAGAGTTGTGTCTTTGGGAAGAAGTTTATTGTGCTTTTCTTAATCGCTTACCCTAAAAACTGACTGCAGGCCTCAGCACAGAATGTTGTTACACAGTATACTGGTGATGGATTACTTGATGAGTGTCCACCCTTGACTGTAGTAGTTCAGTAATATTTTGATCTGTGACTCTGCCTATTCTGAATGCAAATTTGTTTTACAATGCCAAAATCATGGTAAAACACTGCGCTGTCTTCCAGCTTAGAAGTGTAAGTGTGTCAAAGCTTTCTTGTCAGTGTTACATTTTATGATGGTGTACATCTTAACAGAATTGATAGAATTGTCAGTTTTGTTAACAGATCTTTTTTGACTAAGCAGCTCACATGAGAGATTTGTTATAAAAAATGACTGAAAGTTGCATGAGATGCATGGAAGCTGTCAGATAATCACTGGCCTGAAGCCAGTGGGATGAGGTTCAACAAGACCAAGTGTTGGGTCCTGCACTTTGGCCATAGCAATGCCAGGCAACATTACAGGCTTGGGGCAGAGTGGCTGGAAGAGCATAGAGGAAATGGATCCGGGGATACTGGTTGATACTCAGCTGAACATGAGCCAGCAGTGTGCCCAGGTAGCCAAGAAGGCCAACAGCATCCTGGCTTGTAGCAGAAATAGTAGTGCTAGCAGGAGCAGGGAGGTAATCATACCTCTGTACTCAGCACTGGTGAGGCTGTACCTCAAGTACTGCATTCAATTTTTGGGCTCCTTACTACAACAAAGACACTGAGGCCCTGGAGAGTGTCCACAGAGGGGCAACGAAGCTGGTGAGGGGTCTGGAGCACAAGCCTTATGAGAAGCAACTGAGGGAGCAGGGATTGGTCAGTCTGGATAGGAGGAAGCTCAGGGGAGAAGCTATCACTCTCTGTAACTACCTGAAGGGAGGCTGCAGTGAGCTGGGGGTTGGCCTCTTCTTCCACATAACTAGCAATAGGATTAGAAGGAATGGCTTCAAGTTGTGCCAGGGGAGATTCAGGTTGGATGTCACTCTGAAAGCTGGAATGGGCTGCCCAGAGAGGCGGTGGAGTCATTGACCCTGGTGGTGTTCAAGGAACATTTAGACATATCATTGAGAGATATGGTTTATTGAGAACTATTGGTGATAGGTGGATGTTTGGACTGGATGATCTTGTAGATCTTTTCCAAGCCTTGGTGATTCTATGACACGCAGACATACTTCAGCCATCAGTGTACACTGTGCTCAGAAGTAATGATTCCACATCAAAGATAATCTTCTACAGAACTCTTTTGACTTGCTGTCCATATCGAGTTGTTTACTTACACTGGATTTGTTCTGCCTAATACTCTCCACTTCCAACTATATAGTTACCTATATGCTGAATCGATGTCCTCCTCTTCCATAACACCGCCATGCTATACTCTCCAGATCACTGTTCTCTCCTCACCACGTAACACAAGAACCTCAGGCTCCTTTCTTCCCCTCATCACAATGTAAAGCCTCCACAGCCCATCCTCCCACCCATCACCACTCAAAGGGTTTGCAAGAATACTGAGAAAAAATGTAATACTTCAGAATTGCAATAACCATCCATCCTGATTTCTTGGATGTTAACACTGCTTCACAGTAGGTGGTCACAAGAACCAGTGCTCAGCAAGAATCACAATGTGCTGCTGGAAATGCCTACCATAAACGGCCAACTCCAAAGTACACTGTTCAGCGTCCACACTGATAAGATGAACACTCTCATCTCATCACAATGACCCTCCGAATGCAAAAGCAGGTGGTTTGGCTAAGAAGAAAACTAAAAAGAAGCTCCCATTTCCAAATTCTAAAGCAAGTTACTCACAGCCAAAAATCCAGTAATTACAAGAATAACGTCCTCATGATGGCACGTGCTCTAGAGATTATAAGCATCCAAAAGAACAACCAGTGGACTCACATGCTGAAGCACGGTGAGGCACCTGCACAGTTTAATTTACAAGAACGTGGGTTGCTGGATTCCGGGGAAACGCCTGCTTCCCCTTCTATACAAGGATCCCTCGCTACACCAAGGGACTGATCCACGGCCGCAAGGCAGCAAAACGTTTGGGCAGTGCTATAGTCGGACGACCGAGAGGTAACGCAAGAAGAGGATGGCAGCGGCCCGTCACGGGAGGCACGGGCTCTTCTCGCAGGAAACGCGGCCAGCGGGAACACATCGAGGTGCGGGAACGCGGGCAGTCCCTGGGGAAGGGGGCACGAGCGGCGCCCGACACCGCGGGGATCAGGCCGAGCTTCGCGAGCTGACGGGCAGCGGGGTCACGGGCAGCGCCGGGGGCACGGCTGAGGGGAGCCGCCGGTCCCCGCGCTGTCCGCGTTCGTACAGGGGGGGCTGCCGCTCGCTGCCGGTAGGAAGCGGCGGGGACTCGGGACGAAGGCGAGGCGCAGACGCCGCGCACCGCTTTTGCCGGCGAACGGAGCCGGCACCCGCAGGACCCCCGCTACCCTTACCAGGCGCCCCGCAGTCCTGCAGCTGCTCCTGAGAGCGGTCACGGCAGCCATCTTCCTCCGGGAAGAGGCAGCCCCACGCCCCGCACACCTCCCACCGAGCGGCCAACCCGCGCGCGGCCACGCCGGCCGCAGCCAACCAGCCGGGCCGGGGGGCGGCGGCGGGGGCCCGGCTGTGTGCGGGGCGGTGGCGGCGGCGCCGCCTCGGGGCCGAGACACGCCCGCGGGGAGCGGCGGGAGGCCGTCACCTGTCGGGGTCCCGTGGGAAAGCCGCTGACGGAGCGACGGCCGCGCGCCTCGGCGGCAGAGGAGTGCAAGTAGCGCGAGGGCCGGCCGCTCCCAGAGCCCCGCGATTGGCCTCCGCGTAGTTCTCGTAACGGGCCCCTATGGAGAGAGCTGCTCGCTCGCAAACGTGACGGCTACGGTCCGGCCGCTCTCCTGCTTCGGGAGGCCGCGAACCCGGGGCAGAGGTCTTCTCCAGGCAGGGCCCGGCAGCGGGGCGGGAAGGCTTCTGCCCCTCCCGCGGCGCGGCGCCGGGGCGGTGGGACCCGGCGGCGCCTCAAGCGGCGGTGCCGCCCCCAACGCACTGCGGGCGGGAGGCTCCGCTCTGCGCCTGCTCTGCCGCTATCCGGCACGGGCACCCGGCGGGGCGATTCGCTTGGCTTCCACGAGCGCGCTGTTCCGCTGCGCTCTCGCTGTCCTCCGGGCCCGGCCCGCATCCCGTCTGTACGGCGGGGGCCTCCGCGAGAGACGGCTCCGCTGGCTGCCAGCCATGGACGGGGACAGGGTGGAGATAGACGGCGGCATCATGGAGGGGGTGAGCATCGGGCCGCGCTGGGCTCGGGCGGGCCGTGCCTTGCCGTGCCTGACGAGCGTCGTTCCTTGCAGGGCGGGCAGATCCTGCGAGTGTCCACGGCGCTGAGCTGCCTGCTGGGCCTGCCGCTGAGGGTGCGCCGCATCCGCGCCGGGAGGAGCCAGCCCGGCCTCAGGTAACGACCCTGCCGGGCCCCCGCTCTGCCTCCCGGGCCGTCCCGGAGGAGCGCGGCAGTCCTCGGGCCGGGGCGCCGCCGCCCCTTGTCTGAGCGCCGAAACGCATCCGAGGACAGAAATGGTGCATTTCCGATGTTCTAAGAGGGCTTTTTCAGTCAGAAAGCGTTGTTTGTGGCTCGCTTCCTCGGCAGGACGGAGGACGGAGTGTGGAGGAGTCCCAGGAGAGCCGCCCGCAGTCAGCCCTGCGCGCGCTCCCTGTGCCCGCAGCGCACCTGCACCTCCCCGGTGCCGGCTGTGCCAGGAGGGCAGAACGCGCCCTGGCCCCACCCGTCGGGTCTGAGAAGTGTTCTCCAAGTTCCCCAACAGCTCGCGTGATCTGAGGCAATGTATAGTTAAGATCAGATATTGCCTCCCTGAGGTATTGCTTGCAGAGATACGGCATTCTGTGTTAAAAACATGTGCTGTCTGTATGTCCTAGAGCAGTCATTCTCTTTTTGATGTCACCAAACACTTCAGACACATTAGTTGTGTTTCTCATTTTGACTGAATATTCAACCTCCTTCTTCCTAGGCCACTGCTCCTCTTTAACTCCATTATTTTCTCACACTTCTTGACTAATATCACTAGGCTTTGAACACATCCAGGAGATATGTGTGCCCTGAGGCAGTTAATTTGAGCTTACTGAAGAAGTCTTGCTTAGTTAAGCTACTGCTTTATACATACTTGAAAGCAGTCTGTAGGGCAGTATATACATTTGCTTGGTTTTGGTTTTTTTCGCAGTGGAGCTTGTGAAAGGAAATCCAGATGTTCAGGCAGGCTTAGCTGTCAATTAGTAATTTGCTGTAGTCTCTTAACAGCCTATAGCCCTGAGAAAGTTAGAAGCTACTGAACAAAATCATACCTCACAGTCCTAGTGGTGTCCTCAGAACATAACGAAATAGTGCACAAGTGAAAAAGGAAATCAAACAACAAATGGTTGCTTTTTTTCTTTCTTTTCTTCTTCTTCCTATTTAAACCACTCAAATAAATGGAAGTGCATGCGCAGTAGAACTGCTAGCTCTTTCCTAGCATGGAGCTTGGCTGTTCAGGATTGCCACCATTATCCCATTTGCCATTATCCCATATTTCTTTTTCAAGCATTTATCCCATTAAGATAATGACTCCTGCATCTCATCTGCCTGGCTTGACCCACTCTAATGTATCCTTCCCATTAGGATCCTAAAAATTCCAGAATGGTCAGAATGCGGCCCTGTTGGCACCTGTGAAATCAGGAGAAATACTGTAGGAACCAGACTGAATTTCTGATCTTTGTTTGAAATCTACAATTTTGCTTATTAGTTGATGTTCGGTGTTTTTGGTTTTTGTTGTTTTGTTTTTAATAATGTAAACATCGCTTTAGTCTGCTTGCATGAATCCTTAACTTAGTATTTGTGATGTTAAGGCCTCAGCATCTGTCTGGATTGGAGATTGTTCGAGATTTATGTGAAGGGAACCTGGAGGGCGGAGAAATTGGCTCAACAGAAATAACTTTCACTCCTGGGAAGATCAAAGGTGGAACCCACATAGCAGATACCAAAACAGCGGGGTATGTCTTTGTACATGGATAATGACTGGCAAGTAACTGCTCTTAATTGCTCTTGATAACATTGAAAATCATGATAAATTAGGTTTTGGTAACTTTAAAAATCTTACAAGAGAGAGGAACAAAAGAACACTAACACATGGTTGATGAGCCGTATCTTTGCTACCTGATACCTGTGGCCAAAGGACCAGTATTGTAAGCAGGATGTGTGTTAATAAAGAACATACAAGTGGAAGTTATAATGATACGTAAGTCGAACACTTGATTAATGTTAACTAAAAAACAGATGCCTGTGCATTTAAAAACATATCTTATTTTCTTACATTTATACTTCAGCTGTTGAGTCTATGCATCAAATTAGATCAGTATCTTAGAAATTGCAAATATGAAATTGTAAAACCATTACGTACCTGGTGTTGAACAAATATATTGATATTAATTTATTGATTATACAATAATATTGAATTGATCCTCTTTATCTAATAAAGTCAATTTAAAGGTAGTACTTACTCATATGATGGTGCCATAGGGCATACTGGTCTTGGGATCTGGGAATACATCCACTATTTTTTTTGTCTCTGTGTTTCTTCTGTATTTCTGTGTTGGATCATTTGTTCTTGGAACCTGTTGCAAAAATTAGTGGAATAAGTTCAGCTAGGGAAGAAGACTGGTGTGAACTTGGAAGCATAAGCTAGGTTAGACACAAGTGAAAGTTTCCTTTAAGTTAAGAAAAACACGTTTCTGAGCTGCTACACTTTAAACAACTGAGCTGATGTCTTTTCTATGTCTTAAACAGCACAGAAGGGCTGGAGTAGGCAGCAATACAGAAGGATTAGTATAAAAAAGTATGGCTCACAAACATTTGGAGTGTGTTTAAGAAATAACTTTCATTTTGTTGATCAAATTTAGTTTTAGAAAATACATTGGAAGGGGGTTTTTTATTATACATGTAACATAGAGGACTCGATTATAAAGGAGTCATGCACTTCAAAGCATATTTTCTATGCCCCTGCATTCTCTTCTGTGAGATGTGGACCAGCTTCTAGGAAATTTGGTAGGTTTTTATATATTTTATAACCAAATAATTATGAAAATGTTAAAATTATGCTTAAGCTTTCTTGTTTTACTGCCTGCTATCTAACCCTACAATTTTCCCAGTACTGTCAGTATACTAAGTAAGCTATGTTACTTTTATTTTAAAGATACAACTATTGTAAAGCAAGAACTTCTATATGCAGGGTTGCTAGAGATATGAGGTTTTAGTTTAGCAAATTTTAAACAATAATATGTTTACTTTGTTAAAAATAATAATGTTAAAAATATTAATGTTAAATAATGTTAAAATGTTAAATATGTAATGTTATTGTTAATGTTAAAAATCAAATACATAAATGCTCTGTGAGGTCATTTATTTGCCTTTGGCACGTTGTGATTCTACATGGATTCTACATGTGTGACATTTGAGTATCTTTCCTTCTAGGAGCGTGTGTCTGCTGATGCAGGTAGCAATGCCCTGTGTGCTGTTTGCTGCTTCCCCATCAGAACTGCATTTTAAAGGTGGGACAAACGCTGAGATGGCTCCTCAGATAGACTACACAATCATGGTAGGGAAAGATTTCTCTGGCTTGGTGCGTCTTTCAGGTGTGTGTATGCAGTGTAACTTTTGTACTTCTGTTGCTCTTACTGCAACTTGTAATTGCACAATTAGGCATGAGAATATTAAACTATGTATGTATTGGATGTAGAGAGCAACCAGTGTATAATGGAACTCCAAAACAAAAGATTTTTGTTTTTGCTATTTACTAAATGTGAATTGTTAGGAATTTCTCTTTCCATAAGAGAATCCTTTAATCCAAAATATTATTCTGAATAAAGCATAAGGATCTTCAAATAAACTGCGTGGATGAGATTAACTTTTTTTTAATAACATAATTGAAATGTTTGTTCTGAACTTTTTTTTTCTTTTTTTTTTTTTTTTTTTAAGACTGAATGCAGTAGTGCATAAGAGATTCACTCTGTGTTTTTATATTTGCTTGTATTTCAGGTTTTCAAGCCAATAGTTGAAAAGTTTAATTTCACATTTAATTGTGACGTAAAAAAGAGGTAAGTTACAGGGCCATGAGACAGAAATGGGCCTTACTGAACCAGAGTGAGCCTGGAGGCACACAAGGTGCCCTGAATCTACCTGTGGGATGAATTTATAATTCATTAACTACAGCATATTAGCTGCCCCTGTGTGTACCATCACTGTATGATGAATGTGATACAGTTCTCTCTTGTCTTTTTTTTCATTGTTGAATTTTCAGCTGCTGTTTTAATGTTCCCTATGAATTAATTTCCTCAAGGGAAATGCATGCTGAACAGACACTCCATTATCTAGCTTTTTCTGAGGTGCCAGTTTCATTTAGTGTTTGGTGGTTAATAAGGTGCTATGAGGTAATGCTATTAAAGAATAAACTTTTATTATAAACAGTTCTAAGGCTCACCAACAAAATTCATATGTATGGTAGCAGAGAACGTAAAAATGTGTCATAAAATCTATGAGACTCCCAGCTGTTTTCTTAGTTTCCTTGTGATTTCTGCATTTAATTACATCTGATTCGTGTTTGTACACAGGGGCTACTATCCTCAGGGAGGTGGTGAAGTTGTAGTCCAGATGTCACCAGTCAAAGAGTTAAGTCCAATAGACTTAACAGAACGTGGCACCGTGACAAAGATATATGGAAGAGCATTTGTTGCTGGAGCACTGCCTATAAAAGTGAGTGCTGATAATAGCCTTGGTAGTATTCAACTTCATAAGTCTATACAAAATTGTAATGTACCTTGTATACTTCTACTGTTCCTGTATTCTGCAGTCTTCCACGTGCAAGCCAAGTAGTTGTATTAAATGGATTCGTTTAATCAGGCTGTAAAATAGAATTTTGGACATTTCTAAAAAGAACTTGTTGCTTAGGAGTGCAGTAGCAGCTAAAATAGGAGAACACTATAAGCAACTTCCTTCATATAACTATTAAAAAATATTGAGTATGTATTGAAGGGCATTTTATACCTATGTATCATTCACTTTTTTGTGGATTATCTTAAATCTCAGTCAGTAGCTTTTCATATATTTGTGGGTAAACTACAATGCATTATAAGAGAGAGAAGTCAGACAATCAGTTATTTCAAGCACTGTTAATGGAATGAGGCAGAACTAGTTAAGGGTAAGTTAGCCAAAGACAAAACAGATAAATTTGATCCTTTGAACCCCTTCTTTCCATTATTCCCATCCTGTCTATGTTTATAGGGAATAAGTAGTGGGATCACCTCAGGGTTCCTTCCCACATACAGCCTCAGAAGCACAAGAGGAAGGGAGAGGAAAAGGGTGTTACTTTTTGAACAGCTGCGGAGTGGTGGTTTTATCTTAAGATCTCCAACCCTATGAATATTGGCTACAGTCTTTTTCTCCCACTGGATCGCAGGGATGGGATAAGCTTTATCTCCTCCCACACGCCTTGTTGTTATTTTTTATTGTTATTTCATACATTATCTGTTAGAGAGCATATCCTGTGCATAGTAATTGTTGTCAGTTTGGTGTGTTGTTTTTGTTAATTTAATTTGTTTATACAGTCTGTGGTCTTAAGAAAATCAAGACTAAATTAAATCTTTCTCCATATATATGGAGAAGAATTACTGAAATTTCTACTGCTACTGGAGCTTCTATATACAGCACTGTAATCTTTCACTTGTTCATTATCAGTGGGAAAAATTCTCAGAAGAAGCGATGCTAAGTGTTTGCCTGTAGATGTATTGTAACAATCCTTTGTTTTTCTCTTTAGTCTGTTTATTAAAAGATCCACTGTAATAATTAGGCTTATGATGAAAAAGTATTGCTATCATTACATCATTTAATTAATTTATGGTTTTACCTTTTATCTTCTTAGCTGGCAAAAGATATGTCAGCAGCAGCAGTGAGATGCATCAGAAAAGAAATCAGAGATCTTTACATTAACATTCAGACTGTTCGAGAACCTGATGATCAAGCCTTTGGGACGGGAAGTGGAATAATGTAAGATGAGCTCATAATTCCTATTAATGCATGTAGCTTTGCTGGTTACTTTGCTGGTTGATTAGCTAGATCTTGATTAATTATCTGATAAATAAATTGTAATGTGAGTGATTTTGTTCCTAATACATATTCTGTTTTTTCTGTTCAGCATTGTTGCAGAGACTTCAACAGGTTGTTTGTTAGCTGGGTCATCACTTGGCAGGAGAGGTAAGAGCAAAGTATGCCTCTTTCAGAATTAACTTAAGTATAATAGTATATTAAGATTCCCATTTGTAACCTGTTCCAAGATCTGATACTTTGAGTGTTGTTTTATAAGTGGATGCTGTTCTGTAAAAAGGGTCAGTGAAAACAAACGGATTTTAAACTCTATAAATAAAATCATGCACTCTGTACTTCTGTGCTGCTTCTGCCTAGTGACAAAAGTGGAAAATACTTCTGGACTTTATACATATGCTCTGTGATTTACCTGTGAAAGTTTTGTTCAGTGCTGAATCTAGATGTTTATCAAATTAAAGGAACAGATGTGCTTTTCATCTAAAAGATTTGACTAAAAAGTCTATCTGACTTTAAGTGTGGCTGGCTACATGCTTCACACTGCTTAGGGGATATGCACTGTATATCATCATGTGACATGAGTTTTTTCAAGTCGATGTTCGAGACAAAAGTAGGGAAATAAGTTCTAAAAAGTTGATAATTTCTGTTGTTGGTGTGTTTATTTTGTTTGTTTGCTTTTTCCTCTGTATTTTTAACATGTTACAAATAAGTGATAGCATCCTAACTTCTTGGATTTCCATTAGGAAAAAATTCTGACAAGGTTGGCATTGAAGCAGCTGAGATACTGCTTAAGAATCTTAAACATGGTGGAGCTGTGGATGATTCTTTACAAGACCAAGTAAGGATCGTATATGTCATCACATTCACTTGAAGTAGCAAGAACATTTAAATATATATTATTTGAAAATAACATAAGTCTGAATAGTGAAAGAACAGTACACAGATTTCAGAATTTGGTTGTGTTTCCACAGACCTTCTGTGGTGGAATTAGTGAACAGTCAGATGTCTTAGAGGTTTCTGGATGCAGACTTCACTACAACTAGCAAAATACATATACAATACATATGCTCCTTAGCAACCACAGATGCTTTGGCTTTGCGCCACATCCTTACATTTTCCCTTCCTCCAAATCTTAGTATTTATGGAAGAAGGAGTTAGTAATTTGCTTCAATTTAGCATTCCAAATATCTAGGAAGTATTGCTGTTTATCTTGCTTGCCTAATTTCATTTAAGAATTTCATTCCCTTTTCAGCTGATCATTTTTATGGCATTAGCAAAGGGAGTGTCTAAAGTGAAAAGTGGACCAGTTACACTTCATACTCAAACTGCAATACACTTTGCAGAACAGCTAACAAAGGTGAGTCCAAAACTTCAGGAAGTTTCACCTGTCAGTTGTCATCCAGTAACTAAACAGGGTGCAGTTGTATAGATTCACTCTATATTTAACAGATACTGTGAACTGAGTTTCATCATGGAGGACTAACACGGATAAAATAACAGCTTCAGTGTTCATATAAGAGCTTGCCAGTAGAAATTGAATATATTTAGTTAAATGCCTTTAGAATGTTTAGATACTTCTACTCCTGTAATATATTTTTTCAATGAAATAAGTCCAATCTGTAATATGCATAAACAAACAGTGATCATTGGGCATCAGATGTTGAAAATTTAAACTTATGTATAACTGAATTTGTGATTTGTGTTTCCATTGCTATTTTAGGCCAAATTTACTGTGACAAAATCAGAAGAGGAAGATCCCAGTAAAGATACCTACATCATTGAATGCCAAGGAATGGGGCTGATAAACTCAAACTTATAGAGTCTAAAAAGAAACAAGAGGAAAGAAGGAAGATGCAAAAGCAAAATAAACTCAACATACCTCAGCAATGCATTGCACTATAGTTCAGTGGACATATAACATGTGAACAGTAGGATCCTTCTATCACATCCAACCAATTTGATTTAACTTCAAGGATGATAGCAAGTTTTCCCTTGCTGTGCTGAGCAAATCTGCGGTGTGAGAAATGGAAACTTCTTTTTTACTATTATCAATGAGTACAGACAGGACAGCAAACAGAATATAGTGTATGTATTTGGGCAGCTGAGTGCATCACTTAGAAACTTCAAGAATTCAGGTTCACCAAAATAGAGAATAACTATTTCAGTTTTGAGAAAATACACAGATGATGTATCCTTTCCCCTTTAAAATGTGTATGCTTTATTCTTTTGGATCCTTTATGTTAGGTATGTGGAATAAGGGGCACTATCAAATCTGTAGCTCTGTTCTCAACTATTTTGCTTAAATTGTGTATGAGAAAATAATAAAGGAGTAGCAGCACATGAAAGCCTGGTATTTATTTTTGCTGTTACCTCAGCAGGTTGTGTTCCTAGGAGACCGATAGACACTAATTGTACAGAAATGTAATTTCTTTTCCTTTGTAGTGTAAGAATACCCCATGCATAAATTTTCTTTTACATATTCTCTTCTTATCAGTTTTATAAAAGAACTTCTCAGGCAAGTTTAGAAAATGTACCACGTTACATCTCAAACACAAAATAATAACTATGATATGGTCTGTTCTTCTATGTACAACTGTTGCTTTTAGCTTACTAGTGGTAATAGATTTACATTTACATCAAGCTATTGTTTCTTCTTAATGAAAGTACTTAATTCCAGGTGAGATTAGAGAACTGTTGTATATATTTATGTGTATATGTACACATATTCATGTTTCTACACACCAGTGAACATACAAGTGTATTTAGGCATAAACACGCAGTTGTGTTATCCTCTGCTTGGGAATTAAGCAAGGAAGAACTTTTGCCAATCTGGCTTTGATTCTTGCTAAGAAAGTTTATTCTGAATTAAAAGGAAGATAGAGAGATGGGTCATCATTTGTTTTGCATGTGAAGTACTGAATCACCAAGTTAGAATGACTTAACCACAAATACATAAATACATTCTAGAAGCTTGAATTGATTTCCAGGCTCCCCCCATCTTTCAGTCTTTTCTCTAAGATCTTTTTCTCTGTTGTGACTATTGAACCCAGCTGCTTAAGATTTGTCTTGCTTATTAGAATGAATGTGGAAAACCCCCCCCAAAAATTCAAAAAACCTCACCACCACTGGTATAAGAAAATGTTCACCAACAATCTAGTTAAATATCTATTTACTTTTACATTTCTTCCCCTCTACCCACCACACTCAAGTCCAGAAAATGATCGTTATTAATTTCTGACTTAAAAAATATTACCTGGAAATTGTTTTTACTAAGAATAGTCTGAAGGGGGCAGCAGATACCCACTGAATTATGTCTGACATTCTCAACCCTAGTTCATAAAAGAGCACTTCTCTGAATCACTTCTCTGTGCTGCTGATTTTCAGTGTTTTCTTTAGGAAGAATGTAGAACATATCTTAAACAAACACAAGCAAACAACACAAACAAACAAACAAACAAAAAACAACCAAAACCGTGGAGGAAAGCTCCCAGAGTTGTTTTCTGTGCTTGTTTGTTTGTTCTGTTTACCTGTTTTCCTAATTCAAAAGAATTACTGCACTTGATGACTGATTTTCCTTCTCCTGGACAGATTCCAGCTGAAGGGATAGCTGGGTGTCATTTAATTCAGCATCCTAATCAAAGCTAACTTTGAAGCTAAACTGGGTTGTTCCAGGCCTTGTCCAATCAAGTTCTGAATATTTACCAAGCTGAAGGTGCAACAGCCTTTATGGGCAACTTGTTAACACTGTTTAACTGCACTCAGTTGGCATTTAATGTGACAAGAGGAGTATTTTTGTTTGTTTCTTTCTTTCTTAAGCTGAGGGACTGTTTCTTAAAAGGAAGTTACTTTCTGCTACAGAAAACATTAGAAAAGTGTGCACAGCAATATATCAGTACTTCAGTAGTTCTTTCAGAAGAAAACAATATAATCAATTCTACCTTACTCAGAAAATTCCCCTTTTACTAGAAAAATTCAGATCCTCAGGTCAGTCTGGCAGCTGAGAACAGGAAAGCTTCTGTAAGCCCTAGAACCCTGAGGAAATTAAACAAAAAATTAATTATAGACAGTTATATATCGCTGCTCAATACAGAAAGGCATATTAAATGCAGTTTGTAACTTTTTTTTTTTAAAACTTCCTGCACTTTATGAATATTAGCTAATGATTAAAGAGCATTACTTGAAGCCTTTTAGTTTTCCTTTCTATCAATCTATAATCATATTGTTTTTAGTGATAAGGTCAATTAAATCACTTGTAAGAATGTATTAGCCTTTTGTTCAGGAAGAGATGAGACACAGCTTCACTTGCTCTACACATATGCATGGGTTTTCTTATGCTAATAGGCCATATTAGAATCTTATATAAAAACTTCAGTGTGGGTGTTTATGATACAGCTGAGATGCTTACATTTAATAATGCTTAAACAAATAGTGGCAATGACTCAGAAGTTCTATATACCGAGGAAACAGGATTAATCCTTTCAGATTGTATCTGTAGTGTATTTACATGAAAGAGGCTAGTGTATAGGTGAGTGCAAGAATCGGAGAAAGCCACTATGCTGAGACATGCAGAGACCAAAGCCAGAAGACTAAGGGCATTATATGCAGCCAGTTACAAAAAGCAAAAAATAACAACAAACAAACCGAAAAATACTGCACTCTGTTCTGACTGAACTCTATTACTGTCAAGAAGTCTATCTTTGAACCTCGTGTTCTCATATCCTTAAATGTATTTCAGCTGGTAACTACTTCTGAGCTTATGATTGCAGTCTCTTCACTAAGATGTTAGTAAAGTACTTACTGTTTTCTAGGCCATGTTGAAAATGCTGCATTCAGTTTTGGACCCCTTCATATAAGACATCAGGGTCAAGGTGGTGCTACATCTTTTTGAATTAAAAACAAGTCAGTGTAAACACAGAAAATCATTATGTTCATTATTAGAGAGAATAGGAAGTAAAATTAGTACCTAAAATCAAGATAGGTAAATCAGAAAGCATTGCTACTACTTTCCCTAATATTTGACAGCAGAAAAGTTTGTAAGGGATGAGCTAAAACAACTAGGAGCACAGCCTTCTGTAAAATTAAACAGAACCAGAATTTTTCCTTTTATCCTGGATTTATTGGTACATTCAGGAACAAAGTTCCTGAGTTTAGGAAACCTACTGGTAAGTCCACTTAAAAGCTATAAATCCTTAATGAGTAAAAATATGGAGAAGCTCACACTATAAGCTGCATGATTTCCAGTTTTTGTACCACCCAGATGCCTCTTGGTAGTTTTATAGCCTCTCCTCTGCACAAGAGTCTTTCTGCTCAGTACTTTCCAAATCCAGTATGCTAATCCTATGATGATAAGTTATCTACTAGAACAGGAAACTTTGAATTGAAAATTCTGCTTTCAGATAATAACTGAATAGATTCCCAGTTTATTGCTATTAAATTTACAGAATATCCAAATAAGTCAAAGAAATAACTTTGAAGCAGCACTGGAAAGCACTGGCCCCCTACTGAGCAGTGAATATCAACATGTGCTGACAGACCTTAGGCAGTGGGCAAGACATCAGAAACAAGGATAAGCACACGGCCCCATTATGTTTAAGTATTTGGTATTGCTGTATAAATACCTCTTACCAGAACAAGATTGCTAGCATTCTCTTCTGTGTGGGAGAGTTTGCTTCCATAATCAAATAATCAGATGTAAAACAGTAAAGGAAGAACCAGAGTTAAGCCGAACAGTATGAGCTCAAAGGAAGAATTAAAAAATAATTACATTCTGCAAACCCCAGCAAATCCCAGGCCTTCCACCCATTCAAACCTTTCATCTTTTTATTATCCCCTGCATTATAGCTCTGAACTTAGAACTGCAGCTACCCAACTTTACCAGTGATTTTGCTACACAACAATTGTCTTCTGAACTTAAATTGAACAATATTATCATTTTTTTCTCTTTCTGTAAAAAATAATGTTAAAAAAATGTAAAAATCTCTGAAAATAATTCTCAACTGTCTAATCTTAATTATTTACTTATTTGTAATTGCTTAATTTTTTAAAAAAAAGATCAAATGCAAAAAAGAAAATATCAGTCTCAGATGCTGGTTTTGCTGGAAGGCTAAGGAAAGACCTATGTGGCTAATTGATGACATCATTCAGTGTGCTGATTTCCTTCACCGCATTAATGACAGCTGGAACAAAGTTTTCAAACTTGGCGTACCACTGAGGCAAAATTTTTAAGAGTTTGTACCTTTCAGAAGGACAGCTGAAGTAATGCACTTGTAGACATATATACATGTACACACTTGTATTGCCTCATTTTTAGAAGTGGCTGCTGGTGCTCCCATTGAAATGTGCAACTACTGCAGTGCGATCCAGTCCCCTACAGCTGAGGTACCATACAAAGTATGAAAATGCTGACATTACGATTTTACTTCTGGCGACATCAACAGATTAAAGTTTTGCTTTTTTTTTTTTTATCAGCTGTAAAACCTACACAGCTGAAAACAGATGTGATAAGTGGTAATGAAACAGAATATTATCAGTTGGTTAGCATAGTTCCAAAAGTCATATACTAAATAAGAACACTTTATAACATCAGAAATATATTTAATCCTTAGTACTTTCAAAAAGCAATAACGGTAACCAAAAGAATGGTAAGTACTGTCATACAGAAAAGGTCAGTGCCATTTTGAACTAGTTTGCTTTTAACATATTTTGGCTAGTCAGCACAAATAATTTTGAAACTGTGCTTGTGGGCACATTTGTTTGCTTCCATCCCAGAAGATGGTGACCTCCAGGATCAAAAGATTTATTGTTCTCTGACTGCAAGCCAGATTTCTGTATCCTGTTTATTATGTAATACATGGTCTAAAATAAGTATAACTCAAATGCTCAACTCAGATTTAGGCAGAATTTAGATGTGTGTTTTCAGTGATAATTTAATGATGTTCAAACAGGACCAATGAAACTTTCTTTTGTGTAAATGCCCATGCTGTTCCTGTAATTATGCAGAAAGAGAAGAAAGCTTCTCTTCCACAGCCTGATAAATAGGTAGTGGTTACTGACTGGAAATCTATTTAAATCCTTTCTGGCAGAGGAAGAAATTAAACATGAAGTTCCTATTTCCCAGACAGTGCTTCAACTTGCACATTGAGAAATTAAGAAAACCTACCACTTCTTGTCCTGATCTTAAGAGTTTCCTTCTATCCTTCTGATGGAAAGGCTGATGGTCTGACAGATTACAAGAACACAAATGGATGGACAGTTGTCCCTGCAGGACTGCAGGAAGAACTGAGTTTTGAACATACCCAGTTATTGTTCCCTACTTAGGACTCAGCAGTAATTAGCAAGACTTCAT